GTATAGGAGGATAAAATCGTATCTTTCCTCAAAAAATGCTCTTTGATTTTAATTAAAACTCAAAAAGTCAACAAAAGTCAATTTATCAATGCTAATTGAATTAGGAATGAAAAGAACCTTCTAGAATAATCTAGAAGACTAGAACTATTCCTAATTGCATTAGGAATGATAAATCTATATTAGGCCCTCCCCAAGATCATTGGGCCACATATAAGGCTCAAACCGGGACCAGTTTAGTAATTTGGCCATAACTTCCTCAATATTCATCGGAATTGGGCTTATAATATATCGTTGGAAAGATCTTGTCAAGCCCCATCCAACTATACTACTATTGTACCCATATCATGGAACAACCAAACTGGATTGGATTTTTTTCTAAAATAAGTTTTCAAAAACAGAGAGAAAAGAAAAGAAAAGAAATTAAAACTATCCGCGAGACTAGACTTTCCACACTTTCACTTCATTCGATTATTATTCGACGTGAAATGTAATCATCACTGGGTTTGGTTTTGGGGAGACACAAATGGGTGTCTACAGCTATAGTCCAGACTTGGGCGCCAATGCTGGAGCTTCAATCTGGGACTGTTTTCGGTGTTATTAATCAATAGGGGTATGCCTAAAGTCGTTCTAGGTCAATTCTGATTAAAATATTAGACTTTATTTATTCAAATTAATTAATCAATTAATTAATTAGGCAAAGTTCTTTAAGTCATTAATTTATTTAATCTCATCACAAGTCAAACAAACGGTTAAGAAAACATAGAGTATATGCACAACAAATAATGCACAATTAATCAAGTAGGCACAATATGATGCAATGAGTTTGCAACCTAACCATGGTTTTATTTCTCTAAAGTTCGGGATATAGTTTAGTCAATAGAGGGTCCATGGTTAATTGTCCGGATGCACTGCGCAGAAGCCTACCTGTAAAGGGTTGGCGCGAGTGGATGGGACACCGCGAGTTTTAGAAAAAACTCGCTTCCATGGTTTGGTGAATTCAACAATCTCGGATGTACCCTTTGTTGCTCAGAGCGTTCAATCAGGTAGATGGAGCATGAATTCCCAAGGGGTTATGTCCATATGTAGAACACATATGGGTTTTAGAAAAGTGAGAAAAAATTCAATCAGGAAGTAGGATCGAGAAAACAATACGAAAAACTAGTCGAAATTAGAACGCATATTTCTGGCTCGGTATTGGAAGAATTTGGCGCGAGCAAACAGAGACTGGCGCCAGGTTTTAGCACTGGAGTCGCCAAAAACTGTGGGGAATAATTTCAAGCATTAATCCCTAGCTTGAACCCCACTGTGATCATACACTAAAGTACGGTGGCGTCTAAAAGGGAAGAAGATAGAGTAAAAGAGTCGCCAACAAGTTTTAGGAACTTGTAAACCGTTCACAGAGTGAAGGTTACACCCCTTAACGATCCAAGAGATCGTCAACTCCATAAGGTCTTGAACCAAATAAGGGTTCGGGGATGAAGGTACAAATCCAACCTAAAAGAGATTGAACCTGCCCTAATAATAGGCCTCTACTTTATTCAAATCGTATTCATGTGCGCTTTTGACTAACATACAATCAATAGGATTAACCCTAAACCTGTTTATCTATGTTGGTTGAATATAATGCACAAATAAAACTATTATTGGCGATCACTTGAATTATAATCAAAATAACCCTAAACAAGATTATTAAACATCTTATATAAGCGTGATTACAAGTACCAATTCCCTTTAAACATACATTAAAGGTGTGATAAAGCAATAAAAATATATAATCAAGCAACATAATAATCATCATCAAAATAATTATAACAATCATAATAATAAATAATCATCATAATAATTATAACAATTATAATCATAAATCATAAAAATAATCATAATAATAATCATCATGATAACAATCATAATTAATAATAATAATAATCAAGTTAAGGCATAGCAAGATCCTAGGCATGATACTAACAAGATTAATAACAAACCCTAAGCTAGCATGTCACTAAACAATAAAAATCAAATCTTTAGCCCTAACATGATACTAAAAATCATAAATATTAGGAAGAGTATAAGAAGCATCGTATTTTTAATCATACTTGATATTAAAACTACCCTAGACATGATACTATGAATCAAAATAACAATCTAAACATGATTTCTACATCATAACATCAATAAAAACCATTAAAGTACTTACTTTGATGCTTCGTACCTCTTTCTAATAACAAAATACACACGTTAGTAACTTCAAGGAAAATAATAATCAAAATAATTAAATTAAATAATTGAAATAGAGATTTGGGACCAAACCCTCAGAAATTAAACCTTTCACGTCTAGGACGAATACAACTTCAAATATGGCTAGGTTTCTAGATCTAATGAATGCGGAATTTTGTATGTAAAAGCTAGTTTAGAAGAAGAGAGAGATGGTGAATGATTATAGAAGAGAATGAAGGAGAATTGATGAATGAAAACGGAGTTTTTACGACGTTATTTATAGAGAAAATCAGCCAAAAAGATAAAATTATCAAAACAGAGTTTGGCGCACAAAAAAAAGAACCAGCGCCAACGCTGGTTGTTGGCTCCAGGCACCAAGCGTAGCGCCAGGCACCAAGCGTAGCGCCAGGCGCTACAGCTGGCATTTGGCGCTGATTCAGAAAATCACGTGTTTTCTTAAAATCAGATAAAAATTGCCGTACATGAGGATAAAATCGTATTTCCCTCAAAAATGCTCTTTGATTTTAATTAAAACTCTGAAAAGTCAACAAAAGTCAATTTATCAATGCTAATTGAATGAGGAATGAAAAGAACCTTCTAGAAGAATCTAGAAGACTAAAATCATTCCTAATTGCATTAGGAATGATCTATTAGGCCCTCCCCTAGATCATTGGGCCGCATATAAGGCTCAAACCGGGTCCAGTTTAGTAAATTAGCCATAACTTCCTCAATATTCATCGGAATTGGGCTTATAATATATCGTTGGAAAGCTCTTGTGAAGCCCTATCCAACTACACTACTATTTTCTTAAAATAAGTTTTCAAAAACAGAGAGAAGAGAAAAGAAATTAAAACTATCCGCAACACTAGACTTTCCACACTTTCACTTCATTCGATTATGATTCGACGCGAAAGGCACTCATCACCGGGTTTGGTTTTGGGGAGACACAAATGGGTGTCTACAATGGTAAAGGGTACTGGTTGTCCAGTCATGGTGATTGTCTCGATTTTTGGTGAATTGGTAGGTTAATTGATTATCAGCCCCACTGTGGGCGCCAAATTGTTTAGGAAAATCTCAGCTAGGACATCTAAGAATTTGCTAGGGTTTGAGGAGTAATAACAATCATTCCACTAGTAATATATAAAGCAATTTTAGAACGATAACAAGGCAATAAATAACAAATAAACAAGCAATATATATTCAATAAGAACAAAGAGACAAGTTTAGAGGTACAATATTGAGTAAGGGCAGGCTTCCTTGTTCAACAGGGAAGCAGATCCGTAGACAAAAGTAGAATAACTAGTTTATATTAGAATATCAGTGAGCATACATGAGTGTTATAATGTGACTTTTCCTATTTATACCTAGGAACACCTAGGGTTACATAGATATTGAAGATATATTCAAGGTGTAGGAGATCCCTTTAATTTATTCTCTTCCTTGTTCTGTAGGTATATTTTTGGCAAGTATCTTCTTGATTGAAATTCTTGATTTTGCTTTCCTTGTTTCTTTCAATCACGCCGCTTTGTCTGATTTGTTGTATTTCTTGGTCATGGAATGGTGCCCTAAATGTATTGGGTCGTATATTGATACAGGCCCAACAGGTTTCTACAAATGTCATCAAGCATGTACATAAAATAAAGTCTAGTTGCTAGCTAGTTCCAAATCGTTCCAAGAGGACTTAAAGGTCAAAAGTACATGCTAAAATAAAACTAAATCGAAAACGGCCTTTCTATCAATATATTTCTAAACACTAGAACTATCAAACAATTTGATAAAATCGAATTCAACTACTCAATCACATACACGCAAGCATCAATTGTATTGAACCTAATTAAGCAACTTACTTCCTACTCCCTCTATACCTTTATTTTTGCCCCATTTAATTTTAAGTGGTCTCCAAAACACGTGTTAAAACGTTTATATGTCAATTTCATACATGTAAAGAGACTAAAGATTATAAACAAATTAATTAAATTTATAATAAGAAGAATTAAATAAGATCTCATATGACTATATTTCCTCTAATTTATGACCAAAGTTATTAAAATTTGACCCATATTTTGGTACTGGGACAAACAAATAGAAACGGGGAAGTTTATATATGATCTTCCTATAGCTTTGAAATTAGTCGCTCTCGTTCTCAAGGAATTACTAATATAATGCAGAATAGGTTATTTTTAATCCAATACATGTCTTTTGATTGGTGGAGGAGATAACTAATTTACAGGACGTGTCAGGGAGAGGGGATCACCCTGTCAAAACCTCCTAATAGGGGAATATGAAAAGTAGTCATATAAGTAGTACTACGTAACAAACTGGTTTTAAAAAAAATATTGCTTTCGTGTTTTTTTTTTTAAGTACATTTTGATTGGCACATAGTTTTAGATAATTTAATTAACTTAAATAAATAAGAGGTAAGTGGGGTAGTTAGAGTATTAAAAAATTATAAAAGAAAAATAGTGGGGTTAATAATTTATTGAAAAATAATGAATGTGAAAGGAAAGATATAATAAAAAAAGTAGTAGTGGGTTTGGGTGAGGAATATAAGAGGAGATATACATAATATTTTATTGTAGATTTTTGCCAAAAAAAAGAACTGTAACACTTATTAAAACACGGCCGAATTTGGTAAGTTTAACACTTATTAAAACACGGATGGAGTAATAATAATAATAATAATAATAATAATAATAATAATAATAATAATAATAATAATAATAATAATAATAATAATAATAATAATAATAATAATAATAATAATAATAATAATAATAATACTCCGTTAACCGGATAATATGTAATTGCAGTAATACAAGCATTAATCCAAAACATCGGTTCTCAAAAAAAATAAAAAAAATAAAAAAAAATAAAAAAAAACCATCGAAAGTTTCAACAGTTTTCTCAAGGAAATCTCATTCTAATATACTTAATGAATTGTTTGGAAATGTAGTTGTGAAATATGAAAAGGTGTAAACAACTTAAGACCTAAGATCGATGATGAGGAAATCATACCTGGCCTACAAATAAGACTTATTTGCTTTCATTATTGAAAAGTAAAATACAGATTGCATAAATTTAAATTTTTATAATGTGAGAATATTATAAAGCTTCCCCTCGGATCCATCTCTTAAACATGAAGGCACATTGCTTTGGCTTGTACTCAGGAGCAGTATGTCCAGCTCCCTGTACAAAAAAGAGAAAAATAATTGCTCAATATATAAATTCATTTTCATTGCATTCAATTATGTAATAATCTACAAAAGTTAGTTACATAAACTAACCTTAACGGTGGCAAATGTCATTTTATTAGCATATGTCCTTGTAAAGCTACATTAAAAGATCGAACAACAAAAGATAATCAATACAACAAAAGAGACTAGTATCAAGAAAGGCATAAATCCCTAGCATTATGATAAAGGAATTATCAAATTATCTAGGCCTTCATATTTTAAGTTTGAATTCTTTGATAATATAGAAGGTAGGTCATATAAAATGAAGTTTGAAAGTGACAAACATAAAGTTTTTTTTTTCCTATGTATATACTATGAATGAAGAATTTGTAGTTATTAAGAAATGGTATGTACTAGTAAGCAACATTATTTAACAAAAGTATTTCAAAGCTTGCATCTTATTAATTATGTCTTAGTATGTGGAATCATTTCATCTATATTTACTTAAGCATGGAATCTATCAAGATTTTTAAGAATTATTTATACATTGAACTTGTAATCAAATGTTCGTTCAAGATAAAAAAAAATAAATAAATAAATAAATAAAGACACACTTGTAATCAAATGTGCATAGTTCTCTATAGTAAGATTCTAAATGTATTTGACAAAGAATTTGTTTGAAACTCTTTATTTGATCAAAAAAAATATCTTAATGTTAAGATGGTTGAATAACTAGAAACATATTAATTAGCTAGACTCTTTATTTTATGTCAATCATTTGTAGTGGAATGGATACATAACCTTCAATTTTCTTATTTTCATAATATAATAAAATATTAGGTAAGATACTCAAACTAATGTGTTAATCATTTTGAAAAGAATAAAGTATACTTTATAAACAAAATTTTCAATTCTAAATTAAAATATGTATCAATCTCATGGATATAAGTTGCAATTGCACTACATATGTTTATCCTTATTTGAATCAAATGGTAAGCTTTGACAAATAATTTTTTATATGTAATTTTTGCACTAAAAATAAACAAAAAATAAAGGAGAAAATGATGAAAATTAAACTTGCAACTTACCCGGCAATTTGGCCGTCAACTAGCCATTTTCTCCAATCATCAATAATTGAGTAATTCAAAGATCTTATCCATGCTTGCGTTCCCAGGAATGGGACAATCATGTCATGGTCTCCACTAAACAGTAAAATTAACAAAATTGTTACATGATTGAAGTATTTAAGTATAATCTTTCAAACAAAAAAAAAAAAAAAAAGTAGTTAAGTATAATGATAGGCGATCACAAATTTAAATATGTATGAGTAATATGCAAACCTGTATATGAGTGATCGAAAGCCTTTGGCACTTATTTTCACGTGGTATGGCACACTACTTGGAACCTCATAAGAATAGTTGAATTTATAATTACATCTTATCCAATTTCCAATAGTTTCCTATAATACAGTAAAATAGTTAGAATTTTTTTCTTTTTCTTTTTCTTTTTCTTTTTTTTGGTTGTAACATGAAGATTGCTGAATTATATGCTCATCACATATACCAACCTTACGAACATGAAGAGCCTTTTGAACACTCTTTTGATTCATCCATTGTTTAGCAACTAAATATCCTTCTTTCTAAAATAAAAGGAGGTAAAACCGTGTTAGCTACGGAGTATATATAATTTGCAAAATCAATATTAAAATAAGTTTAATAGTCAGACTCCTTATTGGGGTGGAGTAGTCAACTGTAAATTTGTAACAAAATGCATATCCACATAATACAAGTTCTTTTAACGGAATTTGTCCTTTCTCACATAAACCTAGATAACTTTTATACTATCATCCACCTTTAGAAGACCACCAACTAAACATGCTTAACTATGGAATATTTTGTTACTATAATATTAGCTCCTTAAAAAGAAAGGTGTACCTTGTTCAATTCAGTTGTTGGTATGAATAGTATTTCAAATCTTGTGTGTATGGATCGCATTATCATCGTTGGGCACTTGGGACTTGGGTTTGGGCTTGGTTACTACAATAATAAATTTTAGCATGTAGCTTAATATCAAGCCTCATTAGGGTCTGTTCACTTCAACTTAATTTCAGTTCAGTTCAGTTTAGCTCCTAATTACTTTCTCTCATAAAATATTCAGTTTAGTTCAGCTCCTAATTTCTTTCTCTCATAAAATATTCAGTTCAGTTTAATTCAGTTCAGCTTCAATCAGCTCAATTATGATAATTTTAGTTCAATTCAGCTGAATTCAGTAAATGTGAATATGCCCTTCTTCTATCCTGCTAGAAAACCAACTAAAGAAAATTCTCAATAGGTTACCATCCCAAGATTAGCTACAACTAAGCGTTCTTAAATTAATTGTTGTGTTATACTCCCGATGATTATTAAAGATATAAAGGGTTAAAATACTACTAGTACGAAGTAGTATATATAATGTATTGACAAGCATGAAAGTCACAATATTCCAAGTAGTAAAAGAAAACGGTGAAAGTATATACTTGAATAACTACTTATTCACATGTGCATGATAATAACTCAAAAAAAAATGTTAAAACCTTACTCGACAATCATAAGCACCAAGTTGTTTGAGATGAAGTAGGCTGTTGACTCTATCAATCATCATCCTTCTCTTGCTACCGGAGATTCCATGAATTCTTAGAGAATCAATATCACAATAATTCTCTAATGTCATGGTAATTTGAATACCAAGTAGGCCCTTGCATTCAGAATTATAGATAAAAATTTACTATCATCATTTAAACAAATAATGCATCAAACATAATACGAGTAATCAATGAATAAATAGAAGCTTATATATTGTTGCTCACCCATTCAAAATTCTTAATATTGTTCCTACACTCTTGGTTTCTTGCATTTACCAATTGATATTGTCCTCTACAAGTTCTTTGCAATGACTAGATGAGAAAAAATTAAGAAGAATAAGACATTACAAATACAAATTAATTTGAATATAATGTAATTAAAATCAAGTAAAAAAGAAAAAAAGATATAGGTAGTTAAAATTATAGGGAGCTATATCATATGAAGTATTACCTTATACTGCTCATCAGAAATGAGCCCCATGCCATGTGCAAAAGGGACTTGATAATTGCTATCAATAAATCTATCAGTGGCAGGATTTCCCAATATATAGCCCTGGATATAAAAATATTCAAATATGTTATTACTTTATTTATTTTCTTAAGAAAAAAAATATGTACTTACTTCTTTGATCTACACACACACAAAACAAAAACAAAAGAAAAGAAAAATCCTCCATTCTTTTTTTTTTTTTTTTTTTTTTGAATAACTCCCTTCCATGTATTTATTATTATTTTTTTTAGAGAGCTACAAGGGCGAGGTGAGAATCGATCTCAGGATATCCTGAAATCGGAAGGACAACTCTAACCAGTTGAGCTATCCCTCACTCTCATTCCATGTATTTTGTTTTCCTTTTGCTTTTATAATTTGAAATATAATAGGACTTAAATGTAATCCTACATTGGCAAACCTGAATGGTCAAAATAAAACAACTAAATAAAGTAGAAAAGGTATAATTTTATTAGAAATTAGGTTAAGAAAAGATATCTATAATACTTTTTTGGTATTTCCATATTGCGAACCCAACTACTTACGAAGTACTACTTAGCGTGTACATATAATTTTTTATCAACTTATAAGACGTTAAAATCTTTTACTTTGAAACATTAAGCACATGTATTATGTGGTTAGTGGTTAAAATTCTCTCCTTTCATTTCAAAAAATATGTGTTCAATTCATTGTAACACACTAATACGTGTGTATATGTTAGGGTTTGTTCACATTTACTTAATTTCAGTTCAATTCAGTTCAGCTTCAATCAGTTTAGTTCATTTCAGTTCAACTCCAATCAGTTCAGTTCGATTCAGTTCAATTAAGCTCAATTGAGTTCAGTTCGGTTCGGTTCAGTTAATTCAGCTCATTTAAGTAAATGTGAACAGACCCTTAGTCTTAGTACTAATATAAGAATTTACGAGTTGTAACTATTGCATTAGGGTACATAATAGGACAATGGTTCACCACGTTCCGCAATTATCATTTGATTATACGCTTTATTGAGATAAGTAATTTCTGTGTTGCTTATAGTATAACAATTTTACTCCCTCCGTTTTTAAATACTTGCTTAATTTTTCTTTTGCGGCCGTTTTTAAATACTTGCTCCATTTTCTTATTCGGAAAACTTTTACAATAATTAATTCATTTATCTTAATTAGTGGACCCAGCATAAATCATAATTTATTTAATTCATTTTCTCTCTCCTCAATTCTCTCCACTACTTTTGTTTTTTACAATTTTTTATTCTTCTACCAACCCCACTACCTCCCTATTTTATTACCTTTTCCAATTTCTCCTAAAACTCCGCGCATGGAGAAATAGATCAAGTATTTTAAAACGGAGGGAGTAACACTTCTGGTTGTGGTTGTGTGGTTATAGGTGCCACTTCGAAATTTAAAAATATCAAAAGATTGGATAATACAAATAATATAATTGGTAAACAAAAAGGAATAATAAGTAGGTAATTTTGTGAAAAACTACCTATTATAATCCAGAATTTGCGAGAAACTACCTATTTAAAAAAATGTTGTAATTAACTACCTAATATTTTTAAAATGTTGTAATTTACTAACCTTTACGCCGGATTATGAAGAAGTTTGACCAAAATTCTCCAGCATTGATTTGGTCACGTGACACTTGGTGAAAGAAAAGGGTCATTAAGTGTCACGTGATGGTCACGTGACCAAGTCAACACCGAAGAGCTTTGGTCAAACTCCTTCATAATCCGGCGTAAGGTAGTAAATTACAAAATTTTTCGAAAATTAGGTAGTCAATTACAACATTTTTTTTAATAGGTAGTTTCTCGCAAATTCTAGACTATAATAGGTAGTTTTTCACAAAATTTCCTAATAAGTATTAACCTTGAGATTTAGAAATGGTTGTCCCCCTCTTTCATTATCTGTACAAGAATTAGCACGGAGATAGTCAGCAACAAAAAATACAGACCATAACTTCTATTCATATTGAAGTAACTTACCATAAATCATGTCTATAAAGTATAGGGGAAGAGTAAATCCTGTGTATGAGTCACCTCCAAGGTATAAAGGATTTGAAAGGAATTGTGGATGATTGAGCAGCCACTGCATTTGATTATAACACAAATAGATTGCTTAAAATAATTGTGTTCATTAAAAAGAAATCTACACTAGCCTAAATAATAGATCATACTTAATGCAACTTAACCTAAACTATTCGGATAGTCTCTAAAAAATTATCTTATCTAGATAATAATATTTTACAATTTTACATGAAAAAATAAGTTCAATAGAAAAACATTTAGAGATTAAGGGAGTAACGATTCACCAAAGGAAAATTGTACAAATTTCACCTTTCTTAAAAATTGATTAATGTTATGAGATGCCCTAAAATCTCCAGAGTAATTGGCACGAGATGTTTCAGCATAAGAGAAGCCAGCACCCGCAGGAAAATCCACAAAGAGTATGCTTGCAGTCTTGGGATTTCAATTGTCACAATGCAAACAAGAAAAAAAATGTTAATCCCACTTTTTTTTTTTTTTTTTTTTTTTTGGGTGCAAGTGCAAATTTAAATAACATATGAAAGCCAAGAGAAAATTTTATTTGTAGTTGGATAAAAATAAGTGATGAAAGTTTACCTTAGTCCATGCATATTGCCTCAAGAACAATTTGGGTATAGTCTCAACATTATCCACCTCTTCAAGTTGTATAGGTCCTAAACATTCAAGTTGTAAATAAATGATAATCATATAATTTTCATTCATTGTCAAGAATAAAAGGGTTTACTTTGCCGCATTTACTATAGTTAATGTATGGTTCAAAAAGAGACTAATAAATTCAAAAAACTTTAGTTATCTCGATTATTATAAAGTAAAAACATACAAGAGAGAAGCTCATTGACGGATCTCAAAATGAAGTTGCATCCTTATCGGCAATATGATGAGTAAGCTATTTAGGTTATGTATTAGAGCCGGTTTGGTTTATTTATGTTAATATTGTATTTATGTTAAGTTTATCTTTTAGGAGTTTTAGGCAAGTCATGTATTGTGTATATATATGTGATGATTATCAATACAAAGGTTAAGCCGTTTTCTTCGGATTTCCTTGAGTTTAACATGGTATCAGGCCTCTCTAATTTTTAGAGATTTTTTTTCTTCAATCTTGGTTAGTTCTTGATTTAATTCCGCATATTATTTGTTTGATTGAGAATTTAGGCTTCAAATTTTTTTTTTTTTAAACAAATTGGGTTCACCTCGAAATTAGGGCTCACAAACCCTGATTTCAATTATTATTTTTTGTGTTCGATTTTTTTGGCATACGCATCTTTGTGTGTGCTGGTTTGTGTGTGGTGCTCCAAGTGAGTGCTGCGTCGATTGCGTTGGTGTGGTGCACGCTGAAGGTGTGTGCTGTGTGGTGCGCCTAGTGCGTGCTGTGGTTTGGTTGTGTGGTGCGTGCCCTTGTGCGTGCTGCTGTGTGGTTTGTGTTCGTTGCTGCTGCCTGTGTTGCGTGTGTGGTTTTGCTGCTGTGTGTGTGGCTTTGTTGCTGCAGTGTGGTGGTGTTGTGCGTGCTATTTCCTTGAGTTTAACATTATGCAACACCTATTTCATAGAGGATGGCAGACATTGCAGAGCAAAGAGGGCCTCCGGTTAGCCAGAGAATCACCGGATCTTGTTTTGGATTGTTTTCGGACTCAAAGAAATAGTAAAACAGTTGTGCCTCTTCTCCTTCATCCACTCCAATGTACCTGTCAAATATCATAACAGAAAATTGGGCTCAAGTAAGTCAAGCCAAGTTGTTGGCATGTCCAGCCCAAAACACACGTGGCTCAAAAATTTTAAGAGCAAGTTTAGTCCCAAGTCTTAAGACTTGGAGTTACATCATCATTTTGAGTGTTAAGATTTATACTTAAGACTTTAAGACTCTTCCCATTTTTTTTTCCAAAATCTCAAGCAAGTCTCAAGTTCTCAAGCAAGTCTCAAGTTGAGTCTTGAAATTTCAAGACTCAACTTGAGACTTGAAATTGGGACCTACTTCACCCACTTCACTTTTATTTTTATTATCCCTTTTTTTTCTTTTTTTTTAACATTTTTCTACATATAATATATCAAATATTTAAGTCTTAGGGATAAAGTTATAAATTTGTATAAGTCTTAGTGAGTCTTAACAAGAATTTGATGACATCATTTTCAATGGGGACCACCAAAAATGATGTCACATTCAAGTCTTAAGACTTGAGGCTAAACTTGCTCTAAGGGCCTCAATCTAGTAAAAGTACTTCGTACAAAGTTTTTTATTATTTATTTTTTATTTTTTTTTTTTTACACCTATACTTCGTACAAAGTTAAATAAACCATAATCTAGAAAACATTCACTACATCATTTTATTGGAGATATATGAATTTAATTGGCTTAAGTTTATAAAAAAAAAAAATTAAGTTTTAACACCACAAAAAACATAAAAATGGTTTATGACACCAAAAAAAAAAAAAAAAAAAAAAAAAACCTTTCATTTTATAACACTATAAATTTTTATAAAATATGATTTTACCACCACTAAGTGGGGTCCATTGTACCATGTGTTATCATCTTATTAGTTTACAAAAAAAAGAAAAAAATAATAATAAAAAATAAAACCCTAAACTAACCCAGCCAACCCCATCCCTACCGCCAGCCGCTACCCCACACAAACCCTCTCGTTCCCAACCCTATCCCCCTCCCCAAAACTGACAAAATCTCTCGACAGCCGCTTAAAATGGACGGTCGTTTTTTAAACCATCCAAAATCGACCACCATCAACGGCCACTAACAGTCGAAAACAACTAGTTTAGGGCCTAAGTGATCGATCTCGACCATAAATCGGTCGGTTTTGACCCTTAGGACCCGTTTTTGGTGGCGTTTTTGGGTGGTTCGAAAACGACCACCCATTTTTGGTGGTCGTTGGGGCAAGGTTGTCAATTTTAATGAGGGGGGAAGGGAGGGGGCGTACAATTAGATAGATTTGCTAGGAACGGGGGTATTTGGGTGGGGTCGTGGTCAGTGCCGCCCAGCCGGCGGTGGGAATGGGGTGGTTGGGTTAATTTAGGGTTTTTATTTTTGTTTTTAATTTTTTTTATTATTTTCTGCAAATAATATGTTGATGTGTAAGCAATATGGACCCTATTAACGATTTCATCCATAAATAAGTTAGGAAAAATTGCCCTTAATAATCCGACTTTTGGGGCGTCCGCTAAAAATAATCCCACCTTTTGGTTATTTTTAAATAATCCCACCTTTACACCTCTTCCGCTTTAAATGGTCTCAACCGGTCATATAACTTGTTATTACAAGTTACTAGACACGTGTCAGCTTATAATTGGTCAAAAAAATAAAATAAAATTATTTTTTTCAATTAAAAATAAATAAATAAATAAATAAATAAAAAACCCAAACCAAGATTTCGGCCACCATATCCCTTCCCCTCCTCAATTCCGACCACCAACTTATTTCCCCTTCCCGATTCCAACTGCCCCTTACCTCCCCCTCCCAGTTTCCGGCCAACCCGACCCCAGCACCCGCCCGAACATCTACTGCGCGTTGCTGCTTCTTCGCAAACGCGCCACTAGCCACCCACAACACCTACTCCTGCTGTTGTGCTGCTTCTCCTTCGCAACCGATCACCCCGTCCCCCCGATTCCAGCCGCATCTTTGATGTGAATTCACTAATGTTTCAATTATATATAATTAGTGGGCTAGGTGTGAACTTTATAATCAATTCCCATCAAGTATATAATCAGTGGGCTAGGGCGGTGTGAATTTTTTCCGATCAAGTATACACACATGTTTCAAGCGGTGTGGGATAGGGCGGCTGGGTGGGGTTCCGGTCAGCGGCGGTCAGTTTCTGGGTGGGATGATGGTTTTAAGGGTTTGGGTTTGGGTGGTGGTGGCTGAATTGGTGTGGCTTAGGTGGTGGTTGTTTTTTTAATTTTTTTTAAACTTTTTTTACTATTATTTATTTTATTTTATTTTTTGACACATGTAAATTAATTCTTTTTTAAAAAAAAACTACCTACTCAACCGGTTCCAAGTAAAATGAGACCATTAAAAAATATTACGGGGTAAAGGTGGGATTATTTAAAAATAATCCAAAGGTGGGATTATTTTTAGCGGACGCTCTAAAAGTGGGATTATTCTGGACAATTTTTCCAATAAGTTAAGTGGTGGTAAAAGCCATTTTTTTTAGAAATTTTGTGGTGTTAAAATCTAAAAAATCCCAAGTTTATAATTAGCACATGGCCTCTATTTTGATTTTGAAGACCTCCATATAAACTAATTTAGTACACTATTTGTCCTACAATTTTGATCATGTATACTACTCATGTGTTAAATGGATGGCAAAACCGGGATAAAAAGAGTATTTAGATATGGTGTACTACACGTACAATAAATATATTGAATGCACTAATTAATGTTTAGCTAAAGAGTAAAGATGACTTACCCGGTTTCGAGCGAGAAAGGAAGAGGGCCATCGAACCCGGGCAAATATTCAACCTTCTGAGAGTGAACAACAGTAGCATGAGAATTCAACAGCCATAGAGTAAGACCCAACAGCTGCAAGATAATGAAGAAGCCAATGTTTGAAATTCTCATTGTTTTTTGTTATTAATTTTACAATTTGATCTCAGAGTTTTGTAACTTATATATACACCTTGTTATTGCATTTGTTTTGTTTTAAATAGAGAGTTATTTCAACTTGTATTGGGAAGGTTTAGCTTGAATTGCTAAAAGTAGAATTTGAAATTTGAAGTAACAACTTTGCTAACATGCGTAGAATTTGATGTAAAATTTGATATGGTATCGTAACAAACTTATAAGTACATTGCTCGATTATGTCATTATAAATGTTAAGTTCAATTTTGGTTGGCTTTATTATTTAAAATAAACACATGGGCTATTTTCTTAGATGACAAAAAAAAACTTGCATATGATGTTTTGGATCTTTTAAACTTTTTGGCTGCTTAGCTCACACAATAATGAAAGCTTACTTAGCCGGTTTACATAGTAATGAGTTACTTTTAGAACACTAACAATTTGAGAATACTGTTAATCTATCGATCTACTGTCGTTCAATCATACAATTTATACGTATCTCAAGATATGTGAGCATGTGACAAAGGAGATGACTTGTGAAATGATAATACTTTACAACCACATGAGTTTTTGAGTGAAAACTAGCTACTCTCTTTATATTAAATAAGTAATCACTTTGACTTTCATACATCCAATACAAATTTTGACTAGTAATTTTTAATAAACTTTTTGAAATGTGATATAATGAAAATATACAATGATACTTCCCCCATACCATTGCCATTTTTGGGGTCAAACTTTAAAAACTTTGACCATAAATTACTGTTGATCATGAGTGGTTTTGTTAGATCTGTTTCATTATATATTTTATACATATCACACTTTTATAATTTTTTCGTCTATGAAAATAAAGATATAAACGTTTTAATATGTGTTTTGGAAATCCTGTAAAATTAAATAGAGCAAAAAATAAAGGATAAACGGAGTTCTAATTTAACAAAAGTTTACTTGATAGTAATATACGCCAAATTGTATCTCCCCACTCTAAATCACAATGTAAACGTACATTACCGCGAAATTTGATTCATTATTGTGCAATATATCATAGAGCCTTTTATTCTAGCCCGTTAACCTTTTTCCATGCATGCATATAATAACTACCTATGCCTAAACCCAAGTGTAGGTTACTATACCTACACCCCCCATCCACCATCTAACAAATAAAGAAATTTTTGTATAAAATTAAAAAATTAAAAAAAAATAGATTATACATCACCATCTTCATCTTACTGCTTCTCTCCAAAAAATTAATCCTCCATTTTCTCTGTCCAAAAACCTCCATCCTCCATTTTCTCTCTCTAAAAATTTCATCCTCCATTGTATCTCTCCAATAAGCGTTCACCCTCCATTTTTTCTCTCCAAAAACCTTAATCCTTTCCACAATCTCTCTCAAAAAACCTTAACTTCATTGTCGACGCAAATTCATTGATGATGTACTAATTTCTCTCTCTTTTTTTCCAATTCAACAATTTCATATAATTGTTAAATGGCGATTTCATTACCCTAAAGTTTTTCCCCAAATTAATTGTCAAAGCATAGAAAGAAATCTTAAAATATTGGATGAATTATACTATTAATGTTTGATATAATTTAGTTTTTTTTTTCTAGATAGTAAAATATTGGTAAGAAGTGATGTTATTATGGTTAAGTTATGTTAGAGTATGGAATTTTCTATTTTTTGAATTAAATTATGTTGCGTTCTCATATTGCAGGATTGTTGGACAAGAAAGTTGAAAACAATGTACAATTGCTATAATTTTCTGTTATTTTGTAGGATTACTAAGAATTGTATTTTTGATAAAATGTCCATTCTTATTTTGATAGATGTTCATTTATGATATAAATATATGTGGTTATTTACGTATAATAGATTATCATTAAAAATTATATATAAAGTTCATTTTATATACTTCTTTAATTTTTTTCATTAATTCTACGAAATTTCAATATCGTGAAACATTCATATTTGTTACAGAGAATCTTAATTGAATTTTGATACATACTCATACTCATTTGGATACATGATCGAAAATATATTGTCAGTTATTTATTTTAATTTTGGATTTCATTATATACTTTTTCTCATGTAAATATATGATCAATCACATTTTGATAGTTGCTCATATAAATTTCGTGTAAATTTAATCTATTATAAATGTTCATTTTAGATGTACTTCATGTTCATTTGTAGAATGATTAATGTTCAAATTATAATAATTAAAAATTTAAAACTAAAGATGAATTATCAATTTGATTATGGAGTCGAAACCTCAATTATTATTTAATATTGCTTATTTCAATTCATTAATTAGAATTGTTATTTAGTGAATTTTGACTGTACATGAAATGTAATCTATAGTATATGTTCATTTTAGGATGAATTAATGTTCAATTGTAGAAGGAATAATATTCAAATATAAATCACTAAAATTAAAGATATATACATTTGATTTATGGAATTAAAACGTCAATCATCAAGTAATATACTTAATTCTTTAATTAAAAAGGTTATTGGAGGATTTAAGATGGAAAATTTAAGCTACAGTAAATGTTCATTTAAGTGGAATTCATGTTCATTTGTAAAAGGAATAATATTCAAATATAAAGATAAATTATCAATTTATTAATGGAATTGAATCGTCACTTATTAATTATTATAACTTAATACTTTAATTAAAACTCTTATTTGGTGAATTTTGGCTTGTAAATTAAATCTATCGTAATTATTTATTTTAGATGGAATTTATTTTTATTTATGGTCATTTTAGTATTAATATAATTTTAATTAAACTTGATACATGTTTATTCTCATATATATGTATTATAGGATATTCTTTTGAAATTTGATACATGTTCATTTTCATATTGAAAGATATTCATTTGCAATACGGAGTATTTGTTTTTATTTTAATACTTGTTTGTTATTGGAAAAAAAATCAATTAAATTATAATATTTGTTGAATCTCGTATTAAAAGATGTTTGTTTGACTTTTCATACTTGGTTCACTTTTATGTTGAAAGATGTTCATTTAGATTTTAATTTTTGTTCATTCTCATACTAAATAATGTTTTTTCTAGCAATGTGTTCAAATTTGTAATTGTAAATGCTTATTATATTATCTTGTTTTGTTTATAGTGTGTGTTTATTATTACTGACGTATTCTCTGAAAAAAAATCTCTTATTACACAGGATGGATAATGAAATAAAAAGTTGAAGACGATAATGAATATATTGAGAAAAAAAATATGTATCAAGAAAAGCAAAAAAACATCATACGACAAGGAGGATGATTCTATATAGTAGTATCTTTTATTCATACTAAATGTATCAAATCAAAAGACAATGTTTAATTTGTAAAGCACATATGTAATGTGTACATTATTTAAGTTTAATTTTTTAATTTCTTTCCCTTGTAGTTTTTATTATTATTTATTAAATTAAGTATATCTACATTTAAAAAAAGCTAAAAAAAAAAATTCTCTTTTATATGCTTAAGAAAAAATGAGTATATATTAATTTAAAATAAAATTTTAATTGTAATTAAATTACTGTTATTATGGAAAGATATTTTTTCAAACAAAATCTATTAAATTAATTGAATAATAAGACAAATTAATAAAAAAAATTATTTAAAAAAATAATTTGAATATAGTACGTCATATTAACAAAATTGAACATTTAACGATGCAAAATTGAACATTTACATATATAAAAATGAACATTTTTTAAGTGATCTGAAACTTACAAACTTAAAAACTTAAAAGACGTCATTAGAAGGAGAGAGGGGGGGTGCAGGTAGTGCTGCCTGCATTTGGGTATAGGCAAAAATATGTATGCATATAAGCCTTATTTTTAATAAGCTCAAACCCTTCATTGGCCCATTATTCAAAATCGACCCAATAAAACACTTTTGAACTCCAATAATATTTAAGAATTGATTATAATTAATTTGAGTTTCAAATGAAAAAAAAAATTATAAGAAAAAACTAATACTTCCGCTGTTAATCTATTTTTTATTTTATTTTTTATTATTACACCACATAAGTTGGGCACAATAATTTTGGTGGTGAGAAAAAGAAAGATAGAAAAAGGTAATATAAAAATACAAAAGTGTCCATATAATGTAATTGTAAACATAAACTAAAGAATAAGTGTGAAAAATAAGAGTACTTTGGGTATTTGGTGTGTGAACAGAGATAGCTTTTGTCTTAAAATGAAAAGGTGTAATATTTGTGAAACTTTTCTAAAAGGCAAGTGGTGCAATATTAAAAGAACGGAGGAAGTGAGAAAGATGAAAATTAATTCGTATGGAACATCACAGTTCATGCGTCATACGAGCCATCTAGCATGAATTGCCGCTTCTTTGAGTGACGCACCATGTAGTAGCGTACCCTGTTGTAACATACCACCTTATTCACCACTCCCTCCGTTTTAAAATATTTGCTCCACTTTCTATTTTCGGTCGTTTTTAAATACTTGTTCCATTTCCTTATTTGGAAAGCTTTTACAATATTTAATTCATTCGCTCAAATAGTGGGACCCAACATAATTATATTTTATTACCTTTTGATTCTCTCTCCTCCAGTTTACCTTCCACCAACCTCAGTACCTCCTTATTTTAATAATTTCTCCAATTTCTACTAAAACTCTGCGCATGAAGAAATGAAACAAGTATTTAAAAACAGAGGGAGTACTAGGTTAACCTCGTGTTATAGATGCACGACTGTTCAATAATAATTTTAAAAGTTTTTTTTTTTTGAGGCCGCCATGTATAAAATTATATTAAACAATTTAATAAATAACCACATACTTCCTTTTTTAAAAAAAATTAACATCGTTTGACTTTTACAGTATTCACACAACATGCTTTGACTCTCTTTTGTGGTTTATGGATACGATAAAACATATTCATGTGGGATCTTGTTTGAATCATTTCAATGTATATTTTATTAATAGGCCACTTCTATAATTTTACAATGTTGATAATTAGAGATATTAATCGTTAAAACCATGCATTGACAAGCGTGATAATAGAAAAGAAATTTTGTCAACAACTACCAATTATAGCCTCTGTTTTGAAAACATCTAC